CCCCACCTTCCGCCAGCCTTTTCAGCTTCGTGGCTTGCCTTAAACCCTAAAACCCTTCAACCTTAACCCAGAACCCAAGACCACCAACCCCTTCCTGACCCTGAACCCCTTGCGCCCCTACTCGTGCCGAAGCCTATATGAAACTCCAAGCAAATCGGTGCTCCGATGCAGGCCGATGTTTTTGAGGCGCTGGAGGGGTCCGCCCAGCACATTTGCAGCAGGGGTTTAGGAGTTCAGGGTGTGGGGGGGGGGACAGGGGAGGGGAGGCCAGTAGGGTCAACAGGATGTCAGTGTCTGTGCGTTCGTGTGTAGGGAGAGTCAGTAGAACAACTGTGTTGGAGAGCCCGCTGGCGCGACTCCTTGATGCTCAGGGGTTTTCGGGTTTCGGGAGGGTCACTCACGACTCAGTTTCGTACCAGGTGCAGGTGCAGAGAGGGCATGCAATGACTAGTCTCCAGGACTTCGGGGTGTTTGGGCCCGAAACCCGGGCTTAGGGTTCCCCGACATCCTGACCTCCTAAACTCCTGAGCTTCCTCTGGGGATGTTGGGGCATCGACTGGCAGCATCCCGACAACCCCGAAGGCGAAAGCCTCAAGCCCTGAACGTCGACCGCTGAGCCGTCAACAAACCCGTACAGTAGACCTCGATCAGCACCTTATGTCACAACTCGGAGAAACCCTAAACCCTCCCCAAACCCCAAGTCTTAAACCCTAAACCCGAAACCCTAAACCCTAAACCCTAAACCCTAAACCCACTCGAAAGCGCTGAGACAGTCGTAGCCTTCCGGGGTGGGTGCCGGCATGCCAGGTATCGCTCCTTCAACGATCTCAAGACGCCCAAAAGGCGGCAAACTGTAGGGTTTAGGGTTTAGGGTTTAGGGTTTAGGGTTCAGGGTTCAGGGTTCAGTTTTCAGGGTTCAGGGTTCAGGGTTCAGGGTTTAGGGCTTAACTGTAGGGTTTGGGGTTTAGGGTTCAGGGTTCAGGGTTTACAGTTTAGGGCTTAGGGCCTAGGGTCTAGGAGCTCAGGGGTTACGTAGGACCCTCCCCCTCCCTCTCCCCTTTCTGCCTGTAAATTCGGCCCCTCTCCACCCTAAACCCCAGACCGTGGCAGGGTTCTTAGAGCTTCCGGTTCAGGGATGGGGGATCTTTAGTTTTGGAGGCTTACAAGTCCAATTTCTCAGGGCAGTTCAGGGTCGGTAAAGTGAAGTCGCAAAGGCATCCTCAACGAAGAGTCTTGTGTTCACAGCTTCATTCATAGACATGGCGGCAGCCCTGATCTACACCGCCCAAAACTGATCCTGCAACCTATCCCCTAGCCCTGAACCCGAAACCCTTTACTAAACCCGAAACCCAGGGCTCGAAAGTTGGTTCTTCAAAAGGGCCCACGCAGACTGCCACAGGCCTCTATCCACTTCGCGGCAAGCGCCGGTCCCCCAGACACTATCCCCCTCTAAGGCCTAAACCCTAAACCCGCCCCGTGACTAAGTTTCCTCCAAGGGGGAGGAAGGATGGACATTCTGTAGTTATTCCTATTCCCCTGCAGAATCCTGAAGGATCCCGAGTTGAAACCTAGGTCCCTAGGGAGTAAATAGGGTGCTTCTGGTCTGGGCTCTAGTATGGGGTAGGCTAGCGTCCCCATGAGGGTTTTACGGGCCGACCTAGCGCCCTGTTCTCAGAGCCTTAGTAGTTGCAACTTTCACAGCGAGCCCCTCTTGTTGGGACATAGGGAACAAAACGCCCACCACACGCCGAAGCCCTAAGCCCTCGGCCGTCCCATCAGAGCCCTCAAGTGTGCTTGTTTGCCGGATATTGCCTCTTTGGGTGCTGGTATAGACACCCTCAAGTCTAAGGATCCAGGTGCAGAACCCAATTTTGCATAGGGTCCTTATTTTACTTATTCTTATTGATATCTTCATTTTGTTTGTCATTTCTCTTGTTCTTCTTTTTCAAAATGTTATTTATGTTCGTGTTTTTATTGTTGGGGGGGGGGGCTTACAAAACATCCCACAGGGGTCATCCCATCACTCTTCACCCTAAAGCCCCCCCCCCCCCCCCCCCGGCTACAGTAAGCCCTGAGCCCTAAACCCTAAACCCTAGACCCTAAGCCCTAAACCCTAAACCCTAAACCCTGAACCCAAACCTTGAACACAGGAAGGGCGGCGTGGCTTGGAAAGATCCTCATCCACAGCTCCGGGCTTAGGTCCCCAAAGCCCTCAGCCGCAAGGGTTTAGGGTTTAGGGTTTAGGGTTCCGGGCTTAGGTCCCCAAACCCCAGACTTCAGGGTGCTTCAAGCCGGTTGGAGGAAAGTCCATTTTTCTTCTGATCCTGCTGGCCAATGTCTGCACCTCTCCACATGCACAAAAACCCACACTAGATCACTCAAGTTGGCGAAAGCAGATTAGCGACATGCATGCACAAAGTCACTGCGGAACAGGCAATCTTTTCAGGTCCATCCTCGATGTCCGCTAACAGACATCCTAAGACCTTATAACCTGAACCCTAATCCCTAAACCCAGAACTCCTGATGTCCTCAATCCTGGACTGGCTCGCAGCCCTAAACTCTTAAACCACTGCACCCTACTTGGCAACTCCACTCCCAGGCCACCGCACAGTTCTCGGCAGCATCCCCACCGCTACCTGATGTATGCCCTTTGGCAGGAGAGTTCTGCTTGGATGTTGTTTCTTTTTTTTGGGTGGGGGGGGGGGGGTCTTGCAGGGGAGTCTGGGAACTACTTGGAATTTGGAGAGTTCCTAGGTAGGACCTCGGGACATTAAATTTACGCTTTCCCTTACCGGGACTAAGATGATGATATTGATGAATATTTTTCGGAGGCTTCAAGGGGCAAACCTAGGTTCTGCTTGGATTCCGGGGGGGGGGGGGGGGGAGTCTTGCAGGGGGAGTCTGGGAAGTTCTAGAAATTTGGGGGGTATTTACCCACTTGTAGTGAGGGCTGATGTGATAACGGGGGCCCTCCCCTACCAATTCACCCTCATGCTAGAAGCAGGTTCGGCCTGGAGGCGTTTTTTTGTTTTTTTCATGACAGGGCGGCGAGGGCGTGGGGTAGGGGACCCTTTTGCATATTTTTGGGAAGGGATTGGGGTTTGGGGTTTGGGGGTGTAGGGCATCTCCCCGGCGGGTTGCTGGCGACCCTTCCAATGAGCGGAATACGGGCCAACGAACAGACTGGTGAATTTACTCTGTGGTCTTCGATGTGTTTTCGGTGTTCGGTTTCGTTGTAGTTATTGGCCGCAGCGTGTCTTTTGGCCTCTTGCAATATGTCTTTCACAGCACTGGGCAACAGCGCCACCGAAGAAAAGTCTCAGGCAGATACCAGTAGCTATGGCAGACAAATGGCACCCCAAAAACCCCAAGACCTGGTGAGATATGAGATGACACCTCGAATCCGAAAGATGTGTGCCCGGCACTTTTAGCAATGGTGCTTGGTCAACGTAACAGCAAGATGCCTGCTGCCTGCATAACATTCTCCAGATCGAAGCAAAAGCCTTGCAGATGTGCCTCCCTCTGATCCGAGGCTTCGTAAGTCACACCCGCTCCGAAGGGCCTTCGATCTCCGAGCCTTTGAAATGAGAGGCGTCGTAGTGCCCCCTGGCCATCACCAGAGCGCACCCCCCATTTTCGGAAACCCCCGATGTCCCCATGCTTCTGCAGCCTCCATGCTGCAGAGGCTGTTTGACCCACAAAGTGCGGTCTGGTCCACAAAGGGGTCGGCTGAGTGTGTGTTTCAGCTATGGACTGTTTTCAAGATACGGCACAATGTACGTGCCTACGTAGTACCATATTGTTCATGCTTGGCTGCTCTTTCGATACCTGACTCGAGCTCTCACCCAAAATGCCTCCCAGATGTTGTTAGATGAAACCGTCGCACTTCTGGGGAGTAGTCGGCAGGCAAGCAAGGAGGAACAAAAGACTGGGGACTGGTGCTTCACTTGCTCTTACTAGGTATGATCGGGTGACCTAAAGGCGCCCCAGATACAGCTTTTAAGCTCCCGAACTTCATCTGCGCGACACCGTCCGAAACCTTAAGTCCTCGAATCTCCAAAGCCCTCCTTGAATTCCAACACCCAACACTGAACTGGATCCTACCACGACAAACCCCCAGAGCAAAAGCTGCAGCTTCAAGTGCTTAGGGTTTTGGGTTTAGATAGCAAGAGTGGAAAGAAAGCTTCGCCTGCTGAAGGGAGCATCCGCATTTTGAGATCGCAGATTGTAGGTCCCGAAGCCGACCTCAAGAATTTAAACACCCAATCACTCCCAAGACCCTCAACTTAGGTGAACTTAGGGTTTAGGGTTTGTGTTTTTCTGCTAAAGCCTGAGCCTCAAAGACCTCACAGGAAACCTGCACATCTCCCCACCAACCGCAGTCCCCTCCTCCGCAGCCGTTCAGCAGCGTTGCCCTTGAAGAGGGCAGCGCTGTGACAACACACTTTAATAAGGGGGGGGATGTGTAATATTGTGTAAAATGGAGCAGTGCACTGACAAGTTTAGGATTAGGGCAGAAGAGCCAATGCTTGGCTAGGCGGCTAGCAGCCCAGACCCACACCAACTCGAACCGAGGATGCGACGGCAAAAAACCCTTAAAAGCCACAGCTAGAGATCCGCAAGACGCTTTTCGAAACCCTCCTGCTCGTCAGCGCGGCTGGGTCACGCCCTCAACCTCACCGTTGCTGTCTTGCGACATTGATTTCAGCTCGCGGCTTCTCTGCAGAAGTAGCTCAGGGCTGGCACAAGTCAACAAGCCGAAGCCCTGAGCCGCACTAAGCCCCTTGCCCTAGAGGCCTTACTAGTTCTTCTCCCTCGGCCGCCACCCTTTCAGCCTTGCCTGGGAACCAACCTAAATTTTGTTTGGGGGGAGGGGGGGGGGGGTCGGCTTTCGGATCAAAAAGAGTACGGGATTAGGTGTTGCAGAGGTTTAATTATGGGAAAGAATTTAGGGGTCCAGATTATAGGGTTACGGGCCTGGGCGCAAACCGTGAGGCATCATGCCGAAGCCCGTTTACGCGACTGCGGACGAGCTTGCCGATGTACGGAATCCCAGCCCTGTGAGCCATCTGAGCAGGGCGTGCTAGTTGCTTAGCATGCTCCCCTGTCTAGGGCGACATGTTAGCATGCTCCCCTGTCTAGGCCAGCATACGACTGCCCAGAGTGCCGAGCCGAAGATACCGATTCCCACATCCCAGGGAAGTGACTACACCTAAACCTGAAGCCCCGAACCTTCAGTTCCCTTCGCCAGCTAGGCAAGCAGGCTTGGAATTGAACTTTGCCGTGGATGTCAAAGCCCACACTGGAGTTAAAGGAGAACTCGAAGTAAGACATTCGGATTTGGGCCAGCTGATCTTGAAGAGAGGGACTGAAACGCAGCATACAAGCTTAGAGCGTGGAGTTGTTGGTCTGGCTAAACTTGGTTTGGCTAAAAGGAAGGGTCTATCAAAAACATTGTTGTAGAGTTTCTGGCTTAGGGTCTGAAAGAGGCACCCCTAATTCCTAGGGTGGCAAACCCCTGACCCCCTGGTTCTAAGGGTAGTTACATGGTCCCTTAGTATGGGCCCTTAACAGGGACCCCTTATATACCCCTTATATACCCTACACAAATCAAGGGCCCCTACATCAGAACCCTTTGAGGGAGGTAAGGGACCATGCCCATGAAACTGCCCTCAGACTGATGGAGCCGAGGCCGTCAAGAAGTTGGAGGGACAAGCTCTGGACCAAGAAGCCTCACTGTTTAGGGTTTACTGTTTAGGGTTTAGGGTTTAGGGTTTATGGGGTTCGGGGTTCAGGGTTTAGGGTTTACACTTGGTGTATAAACCCCAAAACCCTAAACCCCAATGCTAACCAAACAAATGAAGAGACTTACATGTTGCAGTCTTGTTCTAAAAGTTCTCTTCATGAAGCCATTGAATAGACCATTGTTACGTTGGACGAGACAAGCCGTTATGAGACAGTGCATGGTTGTAAAACCATGAAACATTAACGGCTCATCAAGTATACTGATGGGTTCAAGGTAACGATGATCGTCAGGGGCTAGCCCGTGGTTTGTAGCTACTGGTGCTGCTTATATGCTTTGCCAAACATATTGTCCTTCATTGCATGAACAGCACATAACAGCACTTATAGAAGTACACCCTTCATAATCACAGTAGTCCCTTCCTTCCCCCCCCCCCCCCCCCCCCAAATTAAAATGTAGATGTTCCAACTCTGTTGGCTATCATAATTGGAGGCCGGCAACGTTCCTGAAATGAATTATACTTGTCCAAACACGGCCCGGGAGATATAGAAAGGCAATGAAGGACAGCTATTGGGACAACCGATGGGCCAAATGACCTTCGGTGCTCGAGACGGAAATGTTTCTTGTCATTGTTTTTGCAGTTTTGTGAATACCACTAGCCCCAGTTACAACGTAAACAAATAGCCCACCTAAATCAGTTCTTCAAATAATTCATAGTTGCGTATGTTGGCGGACTCAAGCTAGCTTGGGGTGAGGGTTCCATTATGTCCGTTTTCTCATGTCTTCCAGTTAATGTTATACTAGCCAAACCAATTCAAGTTTTTTCGTCGTTGTTATGGCACCTCAATGAATTTACATAGCCCTGATTACAAAATAGAAGTTAGCCCTAATCATAATCATAGTTAAGGTTGTTAACACAATACAAGTTCAACAAAAATCGAGCTGCAACGATTTGCAATGAAAGGGGATAGGGCGTGTGAGAAAGTCGACGAAAGGCTCAAAGCTGGAGGTTTGGCTATGCGATCCAGTAAGTACCGCGTCACCTGAGTATAAAAGAGTGCGGTCGTCAAAACGAGTTGTGCACAATATTAAACGGCAGCAGAGTGTTGTGACATATATCTAAACATAGGAAAACATCAAGCAAAATCCTTGTTTTGAGCGTGTGGAGGCAGTACGAAAAGAATACTGCAGAGACATATGTATATACATGTATATATATACACATATATATATATATATGTACATATGTTATGTATGTTGTCTACCGCACTACAGCTCCTAATATAGGGGCTTGAAGAGTTTTCATGTATAAGTATAAAGGGACCACAAGCCACCAGGGATTACAATTCGTAATCGTTCTGACCCCTATATGGGCATTTCCCTAAATAGGGGTACCCCTAAAATACCCCCCAAATTTTCATGGTGGTTCCACGCTATCACCAAGCCGGACTCCACCACAATCAATCGCTGGCCTAAACTCTAAACCCTAAACCCGAAACCCCCCTATTTTCGCAAACCCCCCATTTATATGTTCCTGTCTTGAACTCCTAGGTCAAGGCCACGGAGCAGAAGCTGGGCGCAGCACTGAAGCGCCATGCCAGACAAGATTTAGGGTTTAGGGTTTAGGGTTTAGGGTTTAGGGTTCAGGGTTCAGGGTTCAGGGTTCAGGGTTCAGGGTTCAGGGTTTAGGGTTTAGGGTTTAGGGTTTAGGGGGCCTTAGGGCTTCCATGGCCTCCACGGCCATAGCTAGGTCGAAGCAGGAGGGACCGAAGCACTCTGCCACTTGCAGCTGAATCTCCTTGTTCAGGGTTTTAGGGGTTTAGGGGTTCAGGGTTGCAGCTTAATTTCCTTATTTAGGGTTTCAGGTTGCAGGGTTTAGGGTTTCACAGCCCGAAGCATCCCCAAGGTCCAAACCCTGAGCATCCCCAAACCCAAGAAACCCAGGCAGTCGGAGACGAACCTGAAAGCCGAGCTCACAAAGGCTCCGGGGGGGGGGGTTGGATTTAGGGATTTAGGGCTTCAAGCTTGAAGAAGGGTTTAGGGTTTTAGGTTTAGGGCCTTCGGGGATTATGGGATGAAGGGTTTAGGATTCGAAGACCGGGCTGTTGCAGCTTGAGGGCTCAGAGCCTACTAAACCACTACCCGTTGCTGTAGGTTGGGGGTTGCTGCTTAGGGTCGGGAGCTCTAGAAGGTTTAGGACGGTTTCTTGTTGAGGGTTTAGGGTTACGTAGTAGTTGAGGGCTTCTTGCTTCCTTTTGGCCAGGTCTCAGACACGGTGGCCAACAATGCCCGCGCGATGCAGGACAGAATGATCGGGGAATGCTAGCTGGCCAGGGATACATGTTGAAACCCAAAGCCTCAAATCCATGAGGACCACACGGGCAACACCACAAGCTTAGGGCACAGGAAAGGCAGGCGTAGCAATTTACGCACGGGAGAAACGCCTGACACTTCCGACCCCCTGCTCACAAGCCACCTCGAACAAAACGACAATATACATACACATATATATATATACATGCATGCATGCATGCATGCATGCATGCATACATGTATATATGTATATATGTATATATGTATATATGTATATATGTATATATGTATATATGTATATATGTATATATGTATATATGTATATATGTATATATGTATATATGTATATATGTATATATGTATATATGTATGTATATATATATGTGTATATGTATATATGTGTATATGTATATATGTATATATGTATATATGTATATATGTATATATGCATATATGTCTATATGTCTATATGTCTATATGTATATGTATATATATATATGTATATGTATATATGTATATATGTATATGTGTATATGTGTATATATGTATATGTGTATATATGTATATGTGTATATATGTATATATGTATATATGTATATATGTATATATGTATATATGTATATATGTATATTGTATGCATTCTGTTGCACTATATGTCATATTCTTTGTGTACACTATCTATCAGTCGAAAATGTTTTTAAAGCATTATATGTACGGGATGCAGTATATCATATTACATATACACATTATAAACTAGCAAGCAGGTGTGTACATTCAAATAGATATATGTCTCTGTGTATATGTAATACATAACATATGTATACACACGTATATACACACGTCGCTTTAACACCTCCCCGGCCAGAAAAGGAAGCAACACCCCAAAGAAACACAAACCACAGACATGCGAAACAAAGCAAGACTCAAAATCCTACCCTAAACCCTTAGCCCTAAACCCTCACCCCGAAACCCTAAACCCTAAACCCTAAAACCCTAAACCCTAAACCCTAAACCCTGCCTCAACCCTACACCCTGTAAAGCCCTGGGCTGTCACAAAGAAGGATGGCCTTCAAAAGTGCCTTGGTGACTCAAAGGGCTACACCGACGACAGGCGCATGGGGTTCTGGCGGGATGGAGGGAGCCTTAGGAGGCTTAGGGTTTGGGAGGTTTAGGAGGTTTAGGAGGTTAAGGGTTTGGGGCTTCGTGTTTTGCAGTTTGGGGTGTAGGGTTTGGGGTTGTGGGGCTTGGGACCTCAATCCAATACCCACCCGAATCTAGCAGGCCCCTTACATTGATTCCTCGGGGTTTGGGGCAGGGAAGGTGGTGGGGTCTCGGAAAAGTGTGTCTTTCTTTGGCCAGGATGAACCAGTTCAGGAACGAGATGATGGGCATGGTGAACGGAACCGAGGACAAGCTCTCCAAGGTTGGGCAAGGGGGTCTACCCCGAACCTAAACTCCAAACCCTAAACCCCAAACCCTAAGCCCTAAAGCCTAAACCTTGCCATAACCTCACGCCCTTTGCTAAGCCCTCTGAGGACGATGTCCTCGACTCCAACCTGTGTTTTAAAGGCTTTCAGGGATTCAGGGTGAAGAGTTTAGAGGTCTAGGGTTTAGGGTTTAGGGTTTAGGGTTGCGTGACGGCGGTTGTCGCCGACAAGAGCATCAAGACTTACCATGTGCATGTGTTTTCCCACCCCAGGCCCTGTTATGGACATGTGTATATATTATAATGTTTGTTGTCTATCTCTGTCTCTCTGTGTTTATTGTTTGTCTATGTATGTATAAAATACATATATATATATATATGTATATCGGAGATCTTTATTCCTCACCCTCGGCGTGGGCTGGTTAGACTTTAACTCAGCTGCCCGCAGAGTATCTCTACAGTTTCCCACCCCCAAAAAAAATCCCGCCCAAAAATCCTGTATCTCCGGAGTGCCCACCCTCGGAGGCGCGAAGAGTCCCTGGAGTGCCCACCCCATCCCGCAAGAGGGCCCCCCGTGCGGTTTCCACAGATAGTACGCCCGGAGAATGCCTAGGGCGTAGGTTTCGGGATGATTGGAGAATTATTCCTGCAACACACATGTCGCATATAAATAAAGAAATATAAATCTATATAGGTATATAAAAACCTTTATAATTACACATCTTTTGGTACTGGTATATCATTTTGGATATAAAGCCCTACGTGCCGGCGACAATAGCCATTGCTCGCAGGCTGAGTCGAGTCTGGGACAGCGTCTGTCCCAGGTGGACACGGACGTAAGGCCGCTCGATGGTGTAAACCCTAAACCCTAAACCCCTCCTAAACCCCCCTGGTACCCTTTTTTCTCCTTGTCTTAGGGGCCGGTTCCCTGGCAAACCCCCAGACACAAGAACGGGCTCCTTGTTTCCTAGAGTACTGGCGAAGCATTTTCAAGATTGTCAGTCCCTGTCTTCTGGGGCAGACGCGGGGAACAGCTTGCATCCCGGGCTGTGACCTGACAGAAGTTGTTTACGATGGGCTTTGATGCATGTAGGAGGGGTGGGCAAGAAAGTCCAAAACCCTGCCTGTAGGCGACAGGAACACCGGAAGCAAAGCGGCACCCTAGTTGGCCGCTGTTCACATGGACATTCACTCTGCGCTCCAAGAAAAGTCGCTTGCGCTTGCGATGTTCCCCCTGATACTAACAGTCCTCAATTGGGGAATATTAGAGGGGGTACTATAATCCCTATGAAGGACTGGTACTATAAGGGTAACAGCCCAAGGTTGCACCATTCTGTCCTAGGAAACCTGAAAAGCCTCAGGCCCTCCAAAAAAGACAAGAAGCCCACAGGAAAGCTTTGGCCGACGAGCTTGCTGCACTCTGCGAGCGCATCGACAAAGAGTTCATGTCTACGCGCACGGACGCTGTGCCGGCATTCAGACGCACTTGACTGTAGTGAGTGCTCATGGCTTCGGGATCCCAAAACCCACCTTGAACCCCTAAACCCCTAAACCCCTAAACAACTAAACACCTAAACCCCTAAACCCCTAAACCCCTAGACCCCTAAACAACCAAACACCTAAACCCCTAAACCCCTAAACTCCTGGCCCTAAACCCTAACCCCCGACCCCGAACCCCCAGTTATGGCCCGAAGCCCGAAGCTGAAGGGCAGCCATGCCCCCAAGCTCCGAAGTTTCAGCTGAACCTCCACTCTACCCTGAAGCCTAAAATGAACCTCTCAAGCAGGACCGGACTTGCAGCTCCAAACCCTCTAAACCTCGCTAAGAAAAGGTTACGGGTTCAGGGTTCAATGGAGGCTCAATTGAGAAAGTAGAGCCCATGGTGTAGTCCCCGAGGTTAGGCTTCACTTGCCCGAGGAAGCTGGACAACCACAGTGGGGTTACCATGGTTGCCAAACCCTAACCCCTAAACCCTACACCTTAAACCCTAAACTCCTACACGTAGGAGCTCTTCAATTCGGCTCGATGCAGCCACCTATAGAAGAGTTGTCCTGGGCGCCACGCTGCGCTGGCGAACCCTAAACCCTAAACCCGGCCCATACCTTGCATCCAGGACATGACGAACTTCGCGGAGGCGAAGTCTCAGGAGGCGCTTTTGTGAAGTCTTCAAGATCATCAGCCGACGGGTTTTAGGGTTTTGGGTTTAGGGTTTAGGGTTCAGGTATTTCGGGGGTTTCCGGAAATTAGGTGTTCCTTGAAGGTTCTTGGTGTCCCTTATCATAAGGGAATCCTACTATTTGGGGCACTATATGAGGTGTCGCTTATGTTCGTAAACCCCCATTTCGGGGCTTAGGGATCTTATCAGGGCTAGGGCTGACACAGGGCTGTACGGGATTTTTGCTCTCTCTGTTTTTCTTGTTGGGCTTCCGGGGTTTCTAGGGTGCCGCATGTAGGGTGGTCCAGGGTTGCTCGTTTGGGATGTAGAAGTCTCACGAGTTTAGGGCACGACGGCTTTAGGCTGCAAGGCTGCAGGGCTACAGGTTGGAAGAAGCTTGTTTAGGGTTTAGGGTTTGGGGTATAGGGTTTAGGGTTTAGGGTGTGATACGGATTCAGAGCAGCTGAAGGTTTCGGTTTTCGGGCCGACGATGCCCTGTAGAGCCCCCGAGTTCTAGACGACCAGCACCCAGGACCCCAAATCCTAAACAGTTCATTGCCTTAGTTTAGGGTTTAGGGTTTAGGGTTTAGGGTTTAGGGTTTAGGGTTTAAAGTTTAGGTTTGAGGGTTTAGGGTTTAGGGTTTAGGACGGTTTAGGGTTTAGGGTTGAGGAAGCCCTCTTAGCCATGCCAGGGCAAGTCCAACCTCGACAACCAGCGGAAGGTGGGGAACCCATGCGGGTGTTTCGAAAAAAAGGAATGAGTCGGGTTCCCTCATAATCAGGACCCCAAGAAGGTACCCCCATGTGGTGAGAAAGGGATGCATCGTGGCAGGTGCGCCCCCCCCAGATAGATGCTCGTTTCGGGGTTGGGGGTTTTCGGGGAGTTTAAGGGGTTCGAGGTTAGTTCTGTTGGGCTTTAGGGTTATACGGCTACACGCACTAGGGGCACGGGGGTGTTGAGCCCCTGCTCCCGTAGGGATTGGAGCTAGGTTGGGATTTATAGAGCTTGGGAGCTCCTCAGTTCCGAAATCCTGGCAATCCTGGAGCTTTGATTTGAAGCTTATGCCCTGACACCCATGGCCCTGAAATTCCCTGCATCCATTGTGCCAGCTCGAATATCCCTTGAAACCCGACATCCGAAAGACCATGCTGGGCCTGGGGGTCTACAAACAAGGAAGTCGTCGTGGGCGTTTAGGGTGTTTCGCCTATCCTGTGAATTTGGGGAGACGAGGGGGAGTGGGGTGGAGTTGAAGACCTACGAATTTGTAGGTTCTGAGGCCAAGAGTCGAGGCTGGAGGGTTTCGGGGTTTGGGTCATTCACAGTTCGGTTTTGAAGGATCCTGGCACGAGTTACCCTTGGCAGACAGGAGCTAGATGATGCAATGGCGGCCGCGTCGCAAGAGGCGGGAGGGGATCCATACTGATTTTGCAAGAGCCTAGGATGCGACCTACCCACTTGCGGATTTCATACTACTGTCCCCCACCCTCTGCCAGAGAAGAGCGATTAAGCAACATTCCCCGGGCACTTCACGACTAAGGTGGGAAAAGTTGGAGGGTTGAGGATTTGGGGGTTGAAGCTTCTCGATTGGGGGTTCAGGGTTTTGGGGCTTTGCTTTTCCAATATGACCCCTGAGCACCTCTCCTCTGCCTGCGCATCCTGAAGACACGTCCTGCGGCCTTGAACAAGATCCCTCCACAGCCTGCTTTACAATCCCAAGAGAAAGCCCTAAAACCCTAAACTCCGAAACCCTGAAGCCCTAAAGCCCTCAGTTCTTGAACGTCTAAACCCTGCCAGCTCTCAACCAGTCACCCCCCAAACCCTTCCAGAGCGTGCTGGCCATGTCAGGTCGACCGCAAGCTGGGCGATCTTCAGGCCACCCTGGACAAGACTCTGAAGGACCCGAGGATTTGTGAGTCTAAACCCTAAACCCTCGAGTTTAGGGAACCGTCGCTCGATCATCCTTTACCCGTATCGGGGTTCGAGGGTTGTGGAACTTCGGCTCGTTGGGTTGCCAGTCCCTAGCCCTAAGCCCTAAACCCCAACCCTAAACGGCCCTAAACCCTAAACCCTTTAACCCCTTCAAACCCCCCCTTTCGGCCCATGGGGCTCTAAGGGTATCAGGGTTTGGGGTTCAGGGTTTCAATGGTTTAAAGGGTTTATAGGGTTTATAGGGTTTGTAGGGTTTGTAGGGTTTGTAGGGTTGTAGGGTTTGTAGGGTTTGTAGGGTTTGTAGGGTTTGTAGGGTTTGTAGGGTTTGTAGGGTTTGTAGGGTTTGGGGGGTAGTTTAGGGTTTTGGTTTAGGGCTTAAAGGGGACTATAAGGGGGGCTAGAAGTTGTTTTTGTTTTTGTTGGGGCTTGCGGGCTTAGAGAGTTGAAGTGCCTCTGGGCCCCAGGGTTCCCAACAGCTTTGCCAATGAAGGACGACAATGACGCCAAGCAGCGGGACCAGCAGGACTCTTCTGGGTCAGGGTTTAGGGTTTAGGGTTTAGGGTTTAGGGTTTAGGGTTTAGGGTTTAGGGTTTAGGGTTTAGGGTTTAGGGTTTAGGGTTTAGGGTTTAGGGTCCGGGGGTAGGAGGTGTGCCGTTCAGCTTCAGCTTTCAGAAGACCACATGGCACTCAAAACCAACCCTATGAGCCTTATAAACCCGAAAAAACCCTAGAAACACAGGCCCTATAAAAACTGTAAACCCTACAAACCCTACAAACACTACAAACCCTACAAACCCTACCTGAAACCTTGAGTTGCCAAAACCTGCACCTGGAAAACCCAGGAGCGCGACGAGCGGTCGAACCGTTCCGAAAGTGAGATCTGGTGGCCCTGGCCTGTTTGCAGCTTTTTGCGCGGGCACACTTTTCACGACATGTGGTGATTCGTAGCATCGTCCGACATGCCCCCTGGCCTACCTGCACCCGGCTGAATTCCGAGCTTTCTTGGGTCTACTCCAGAATCGAGATCTGCCATTCGCCCCAAAGCGCTGTAGGCTTGGTTCGGGCGTAGCCCAGGTTCAAGTTGAGGGGTGAGTTGAGGGTTTTTGCGTCACATCTTGCTTCAGGCCCACATTCTACGTGCCATTCTCAGCATCTCATTAGCCTTGACCAATCCTAAGCTAGGTAACTACCCCAGGGGGCACCCCTGCTTGAATCTTACCCCAACTTAACCTTGTGTAGGGGGGCGTTAAAATGCTCCCCGTGATTTCAGGCTCAAGATCCAGCGCCTGGATGAGCTGCTTCAGGCCAGTGGGTGGCTCGAACTTTGGGAGGCTATGTAACAGGATTGTTAAGCTTTAGGCATTTGGGCAACTCCTGACATTCTGCTACCCACCTGTGCCGCCACTGGCACGACGAGGGGAGCATCATCAGCCCGACAAGACGGCCTCCTTTTCAGTTGGCCCCTTGCTGGGCCAACAAGGCGAGCATCATCTGCCTGTCTGTTTCGGGTCACCCGACATGGCGAACATCATCAGCACGAAAACGCGAGCATCACAGCATCAGTTGGCCCCTTGCTGAGAGTGAGGGGGCCCGACAAGGCGAGCATCAGCAGCATCAACTGGCCCTTTGCTTGCTGGGCGTGAGGGCCCGACAGACAAGGCGAGCATCATCAGCATCAGTTGGTTCCTTGTTGGGCTTGGGGCATCATTAGCATCAGCTGGCCCCTTGCTGAACGTGAGGGGCTTGACTGCTTGACAAGGCGAGCATCATCAGCATCAGTTGAGAGGCCCTACAAGGCGAGCATCATCAGCATCAGTTGGCCCCTTGTTGGGCTTGAGAGGCATCATGAGCATCAGCTGGCTCCTTGCTGGGCATGAGGCCCTACCAGGCGAGCATCATCAGCATCAGCTGGCCCCTTGCTGGGCGTGAGAGGCCCACAAGGCCATTGCTGGGCATGAGGGGCCCCGACAAGGCGAGCATCACTTTGTCGGGCCCCCTCACGCCCAGTGAAACGCCTATCATAATTTCATGGGATGACCATTCCCTCACTTGAGCGTTTGCATCCGAGACTAGACTCTGTGAGCAGACCCCTGGTGGCGAATCCTTAAGCAGAAGACTCCTAAACTTCCAAGGACCCTCAAGACCCCCCTAAGCGCTTTCTGGCACCCAGGAGCTCAAGGACTCCACCAATGAAGCCACCGAGGGCCTCCGTCGGGTCCACGGAGCTAGGGTTCAGGGCTTAGGGTTTAGGGTTCAGGGTTCAGGGTTTAGGGCTTAGGGTTGTTTGTTTTTTGTTTGCTGCTCGGGGTCCCAAATACAGTACTGTGGTATTAGATATCCGTTGTTGAATACATATAATTCCTCTCATATGTGGTATACTGGTACATTATATTGTGCACCCTAAACTTAGGGCCTGGGGGATTTTAGGGTTAAAGTTGCTTAAGATCACGCCTCTCGGAAACCGAGGCCATACTTCCAATAAGAATCTCTCCGACTTCAAGAACGAAGCGCCTGGAGCACAGCAGTCGCCCCTTCTTCGGGCTTCCTGTGGGTATTCGGGGGTTGAGGGTTTCGGGTTTAGGGTGTGGGGTATAGGGGTTTAGGGTTTAGGGTTAGGGTTTGCAGGTATCAGCTTGCGGTAGGACCTTCAATCTGAAGCCCTGAGCCCCAAAACCTTCAAACATGAGCCCGCAAACCACACGGCATGGCTCCCAAAACAACCTTCAGTTGTAGGCCCGTGCAATGTAATACAAGCAGTGCACATACATGTACATGTTTCTTGAGTTGGTTAAAATATTCAAGTTAACAGCATGCATGTGTATCTGTGTATATATATATATATATATCTGCAATTTCTGCCTCGGAGGGTATGAGAGCAGACCTAGCAAGGATTGTGGGATCACGTTGCCATTAGGCCCAGAGATGTAGTCCCTAGCCCAGGTGCCCGTTTTACTGGCTCTGGATGAACAGGGGAATGATGGAATGTCTTCTTGCTGTCGTGGTTGGGCGGTGCTCGTTGTTGCCGTTGTCATCCTTGTCGTTGCTGTCATCCTGAACCCTAGGCCCTAGGCCCTATAAACCCCAAACCCCAAACCCCATACCCCAAACCCCAAACCCTAAACCCTAAACTCCAAACCCCAAACCCTAACCCTATGAACCCTAGAGCCCTAGGAGCCCTAGGAGCCCTAGGAACCCTATGAACCCTATGAACCCTATGAACCCTATGAACCCTATGACCCCTAGGAGCCCTAGGAGCCCAAAGCCCTTTTTTCAGGGTTCGGGGTTGGCCCAGGAGCGGGCGCCTCGATGGGCTGGATGAGGCCGGGGGGGGGGGGGGATTTTTTCTTGTGGAAACAGGCAAGAATATCATATTATGTCATATCATTATGGAGTACTAACAGTGTACTATTGACAATAACACACACACACACACTGGTAGTTTAAAAGAGTAAGAATACTACAACATAGCATCAGAGTTGGGTTTAAGGTTTCGACGTTGTGCAAAGATGATCTGCAAGGGGTTTCGTGTCCGAGAATTAACGTGTCGAAGCGTAAACGCTTCAACTTGCAAATGTGTCGAGAATGGGAAAATCTGTAACAAGTCTAAAGGTGTAAGCCGGCAGAGGGCCCTCTTCACTTAAGTTGCACGCCCGTAGTGTGTCCGCACTTCTTCGCAGTCGCTGTGTGTGTGTGTGTGTGTGTTGGTGTTGGTTTTCTTGTTTGGATGTTACGGGGCAGCTCGAAACGCGTCATGCGGTGGAGCGCAGCACATGAAATCTTCCGCGCTATGAGCTCATAAGCCTCAACAACTTGAAACTCCCAGGCGGTGAGGCTACAGGTGTCTCAGGGGATCCCGTAGCCGTGAAGTGGATGTTCACACAGCCCAGAGATGTCCGTCAAGCTCTGTCCCACTAAATGGGGCTTTGCGAAAATAAGGGACCCCGAATATAGACCCCCAATAGTAGGAATCCTTTATTAATAAGGACCCCAAGAAGGTGCCCCAAATTTCGGAAACCCCCAAACCCTAAGGATGCATGTACTTATGTGGTATATACTTGGGCCTTGAAGGGGCTCCTATGTAGTAGCTTTAGGGTCCAAGTGAGGTACATGGATCCTTAGGGCACATGCTTGTCCGCTGGGGCCGACCTCAACTGTCAACAAGGAGAACATCCGGATCCGAAGTGCAATTCTTGAAGTGGAGAACATTGCGACCCGGAGAGTGGCCTGAAGCTGAGTGGGGAATTTATATATATATATACATACATGGCTGTTTCCCAAAATAGGGGTGCCCAAAAAGAATAGAAACCCTTTAAGAGACTTTTCGGAAACCTCCATATGTATATATTCCCTGAATCACTTGGTCTGGTGAAGGTTGTTTTTGCTTTGGTAGGTGCTGGTGACAGTTCGGCCTGCCACAGCTTCGTGCATCCCTCTTTGTTTGTCTTCCTCGACAACTTGAGGACTGGGTCATCAAAGACGCCTCAAAGCGATTGCGCATGGAGCCAAGACATCACCGTCTAGGTGGATCCTTCTTATCGCGACCATGGTTTCTGTATTCGATACTAGCTGCTGACTAACGAGCCGGCCGGGATGTGAAATTCTCAACCTCATGCCGAGGGAAGGGCGAACTGCATTTGTTCCCCTGACCTAATTAAATTGGAAGACATGGCATCTTGTACATGTCGGGGGGGGGGGGGGGGTTGATCTACATCATGGGCCGTGCCTGTACCTTACTCCACGCCGCGCCGAAAGGGCTAACCATTCCAATTCATGCCCATTTCCTTGGCTCAGGCAGAGACCAGATTTGGAAGGCAATGAAGTCTCCATATATATATATATATGTATATGATCTCCATATCAGCTTAATGTGTCATATGGTAGCAACCAGCGTAGTTGAACTCGGGTCTGAACATCACAGTCCAAAATCGTTAACACGGCTAGATGGCATTCTTCCTTGAAGCTTCGCGCTGCACGGTGGCAGATAGCCCAGACTCTGGTAGGTTTAGGGTTTCGGTTTAGGGTTTAGGGGTTTGGGGTTTAGGGTGTAACCATCAGATTGGAGGTTTACGGTGCCAGCTTGGCAAGAATTCAATGACCCTACTTCCCCCCTCTGCCCTGAGCGAGAACGGACAGAGAGAGCCTTCGGATCTGCCGCGTTTTTGTCGCTTCGGATTTTGCAAGGCCTGAGGGTTTTTTCGCGTTTCGTCCTGCGAAACTTTCCCAGGGCATTTGTGTAATCTTCACTCCGGGAGCCCGACTCAGTGGATCGAGAGCTCTTCCGGCCTGGCTCGTAAAGCAAAGACGACTAAAAGCCACCTGCTGTTCACAAGCTTTCTGACTCGTATCCTGGGCACCCTCCCCTGACATAATGTTTGGTGTGGAAGCACTACAGTCTTGCTCAAATATCTGATGTCTCCACATTCCGGCATGAGAAAGACCCTCCATGTTTTGGCGCGTCACCTTTTATCAAGCCTGCAGCTCAACAAAGAAGCCGTAAAGGCTGCGAGTCAAGGGTAGTAACCGGGCTACTTTCTGTCATTCTACCTCACTATTTGCTGTGCTTGGTACTCCTGGGAGATCAGTAGACGCATCGCAAGTGTATTTTGCGGCGTGGTCGACATGGTATGGTTACCTAGTAGTCGAGTGAGTAGCCATTCGTCTTGTTGGGCAACACATGGCCTATGAAATCACAACGTGTAGCCGTAACCCTTAGCATGAGACACTGGGCAAGTAGGTTTCAGCTGGAGGTCTCTCCGAAGTGATACGCGGCATATTGATAGACCGAAGACCATCTCCGAAGTGCAAGGGCTGTACTTCTCGCGTTCGGGGGGTTCAGTTTGGGGGTCCTAAACCCTAAACCCATGAACCCTAAACCAGCCTAAACCCCTGCGAATCGCAGACGCGGAACCATGAGGTGAAACTGAGTCAATCCAGTCCTCTGGCGGCACAGAGTGTTTAGACCGTGCTTGAAGACATGTCATACTTTCAGTCGCGTCTGCCTTTAAGACAGGGACCACAAATCCTTATCTGTCAAGGGTTTCTAGTGACAGTTCAAGAGAAGGCTGATGAGTGGTAGTCTTGTTCGGCGTCACTTGGGTGGCTCACCGGTTGCTTGAGCAAGCTGCGGGTCACGTCTTCATCCTGAAGCAGTCCGGTTGGGGCACGCCTTTTAGAAAAATCAGCTCCAGCGCCATGCCTTACTACTCTACAAGGTTTAAGGTCGAATCATGGACCCTCAACCGCATGCATACTCTTGGTCGGCATGTCTTGGGATTGCGTTGCATCATTTGCATGACATTTGGCGCACTCGAGAGAGATCTTTCTTTTCCCCCAACGGAAGCCCGGACTGCGCCCAGGAGCTTCGAAGAGATGATGCAAGCCAGCCGCAAGGAAAGGAAGTGCGGCTGGGATCGAAACTCAACCACCAAACCCTAAACCCTGAACCCTCAGGTCATAGAGTCGTGCCAGACCTGAAGAGGGCACCAGCTCTCGTGTCCTCAAGGTCTTGGTTTCTTCTTGGATGTTCCGTCGGAGCTGCGACTAAGGGGGGTTTAGGGTCCCGAGGTGATCCCCTAAACCCTATTATAAACCATAAACCCTCTATGCCTATATGGATATGATGAGCCAGGCACAAAAAGTGACGCCCCATGAAAGCCCGGGGGGGGGGGGGGGGGGGGGGGGGGGGGGGCGGGGGTCCTTGGGCGTAGGGTTTCTTAGGGAGCCTTAGTGAGTAGGGTTTAGGGTTTAGAGTTTGGGGTTTAGGGTTTAGGTTTTCGGTTTTTGGGTTACGGGTTTGTGGTTTGGAGATGGCCCTAAACCACGAAACCCACAACATTAAACTAAAAACAAGCCCAGCCCCCACCCCCGCAAGAACTCCAACCCAAGATCCTGAGCTCTAGAACAATGATCCTGAAACTCTGAAGTTCGAGAGGAGGAGGGGCATAGGCCCTTAGTACATTGGACATCTCCCTTACTGGGTTTTAAAGGATCGTATCTACAAGGCAGCGGGCTTTTAAGGGCAAGCCTAGACCTAGCAAATGGCACTTTGTTTCCTGAACCTTAAACCCTGGAACACCTGAAGCCTAAACCCTATAAACCCTATAAACCCTATAACCCCTATAAACCCGAAAACCCTATAAACCCTATAAACCCCTATAAAACCCTATAAAACCCTATAAAGCCCTATTAAACCCTATAAACCCTATAAACCCTATTAAACCCTATTAAACCCTATTAGACCCTATTAAACCCTAAGCCTTTCAAACCAGACCCAGGCATGGAGTCACCCTCGTGCAGCGAGCTTCCCTGCTTCGAGCCGCTGGCCTACCAAGGGCTTAGGGTTTCCTGTCTTAGGGTTTAGGGTTTTGGGTTCAGGGTTTGGGGTTTAGGGTTCAGGGTTTAGGGTATAGGGTTTAGGGTTAAGGGTCCTTAAAAGGGGCCCCTTATATATCCCTATATACCCTGTGCAACCCAAGGGCCCATACATCAGAACCCTTTACAGAGAGTAAGGGACCATATTAAGCGCCCATGAAACTACCCTTACTTAGAGCCTGTAGTATCAAGGGATTAAGATTTATCTTCTCTTAGGGATCTTAGAAAAGGGCCCCCAAATCCCAAGGTAGAGTCCGTCGAAAATAAGCAAGGAGGAAGTTAATATGTCCCTTTTCTTCCGGTAGGAAATGCAAAATAAGGGCTTTTTTGCAGTTGCTTATGGATAGCTTCGGGGTTTGGGGCGGCCTGAAAACGCGAGACCCTAAACCCCTGCCTCTACATATTCAATCCTGTCCCTAGTCGGCGTGTATCTGAAGCCCAAACCCCTAAACCCACAAATTCCCAAAACCGTAAACCCCTAGATCCCGGAACCCTAACAAAGCCTTGAGCAGCCCACCCCCCCCCCCCCCCCCCTCCCCCCCCCCCCCCTCCCCCCCCCCCTCCCCCCCCCCCCCTCCCCCCCCCTCCCTCCCCCCCCCCCCCCTCCCCCCCCCCCTCCCCCCCCCCCCCTCCCCCCCCCCCTCCCCCCCCCGGGACCCGACAGTCCTTAACCACTCGCAAGCAACGGGCTCAGGGATCCTAAGTACAGTCGAGAACGTGCTGTAGACCGGGTGAGCCAAAGCCGACATTTCGTTTTATGCGCAAGCAAGTGCTTTGCCGTTGTCTGTTGTGATGTCAGGACCAATACTGTATGCCTTAGCTAAGGAACACGGATCTCTCTATACATACATATTTATATATATATATATATATATATAGATATATGTATATAGTTAATCTAAGGTATGTTACGGTATGTTGCTTTAGCAGGGGTTGCTTGGGCTCTTTTGGGGGTGAAGAGAAAGTCAAGCCCAGGCTGTGGGATCGTCGTACGACGGCCGCTTGTCAGCAGTTGTTGATTGTCTTCCTTCTCATGGACTTGGAGCCTAGGGAGGTTTAGGGTGTAGGCGCAGAACACCGGGCTCATTAGATGCAGATACAAGTTGTGTTTTTTCAGATGGGGGGGGGGGGGGGGTTGTTCTCGATGAGGGTTCCTTTGGGCGGGTCCTCTTTATGTCCCGATACCCCTCTTCGTTCAAACCTTCCTACGGAGAACCTAAAACCGCCCGACTCGATTCCAATGGTGTGGTGCTGTTATGAATTGTAAGAGGGTTTAGGGTTTAGGGTTTAGGTTTTAGTATTTGCAGGGCTCCTCTGCCTGGAGCTTTCTGAAGCAAGAAGGCTACCCCAGGATTCCAAACAAGCTTTGCAACCTCAAAAACCCTAGCTCGAAATCCTAAACCTTAACCCTGAAAGCCGTAAAATTAAAAGAAGCCCTAGACTCACAGCATTTTGCAGGCGCTGAGCAATCCTGAGTTTGAGCGTGACCAAAGCTCGTACAGCTGCTTGGCCCTGTTCGTCTTCGGATTGAAGGCTCTAAACAGCCATTTGGGGTTTTTGCTGCCGCTCATGCTCTAAAGTGGTCTGTGCGACTACCTATCCTGCCTGGCTTGCAGCAGCTGTGCTTATAAACTCTTTGTCGCTTGCTGAAGATTAGGGAAGCCCTAAGCCCTAAACCCTATAAACCCCGGCTTCAAAAGCTTTGCCCCATCCGGCTTTTGTGTCTGGCCTGTGTAGGCCTCGAACCCACTACCTCCAACACGGAAAAAGGACCATCAATACTTGAAGCGTAGTCTCGTGCATCTTTGCGGTGTCTGATTTAGGTTATGGCGCCACTGGATTAGCAAGGGCGAAGGGCATCAACGGTTTTGAGCTTCCGAAGGGCCTGGTGTACAAAGCAAAATTGTCGCGTGATGCGTGTAGGAGCCACCCCAAGTGCTGCTACTGGACCTAGCAAAGTCGTGTCCGCGCCTTTTGCTTCCGCGGTCCACGACTCGTCCCCATAAAGTTAGAACTACAGCTTCCAGGATAATTTGGGGAGCCACCCTAAACCCTAAACCCCAAATCCTAACCTTAAACCCTAAACCTAGCGATTGACAAGTTCAGGCACCACCAGCTCTTCGCCATGTGCCGCCTGGCTGTCCCCATTG